ATCTGATTGTCTCAGGTTGTATGCAGAAATATGCTCGTTAAAAATGTTACAGATGCTATTAGGACATAGTCTATGTTTAACTTTATACATGAGAATACATGAGAGAGTGCCCGGTCCAATACTGGAATGTTGGACCGGTAAATAACAGTGCCATCTGATTTGGGTTGATTTTACCTACTAGCCCTCTGAACTAACTTAATCCTGTAGTGGATATCGGTAAATGAGCTTATTAGGAACAACATACCAAGTTTTCCTCGATCTTTGAAATCTTTCTGGCAACAGCGGCGAGGTCTTCACTGTTGCAATTGGAAATTCCGTGTTCTGGATTTTCCCTGGAACACATCTGAAATGAAAATTAGCTTAGATGATTACATTTTGATCATTCCAAGTACCTTCTAAAAATCGATGAAAAAAATTTCTGAGCATTTCTTTACGGATGTCGTAAAACTCGCGAAAATTCGAAAGGAAGAGTTGTGAAAACACACGACGGCGGCAGCTGTCGTTCTCCCACACATGATATCGTGATCTTTATGAGGTGATAGTACAGTTGTATCAAGAAAACGAAGAAGCGTCGCCATTTCGTAGACAACCGACAGCCACTGCACTCTAATTAAACAATAGAGTGTTTCTGTCGAGGAACTNCTTCCGCGCGCCAGTTCAAAACTCACATTGAATTATTTTCAACTTTTTTAGATGAAAGCCGTGAAAGCCAAATGTAAAATTTAAAAGGGAAAATAAAGAAAACCCACTTAATACAATTTCAATTGTTTATTTTTTTTTAGCTCGCTTGTTTACAGAACATTTTTCACTGACGAGTACTTGGAGGTCACTATGGGCAAATAGTGTCTCTCCGCGGATGAACACTATCGTCTCACGTGATCAATTTAAACCAATAGGAATCGGTGAAAATTTAGTGGTGAAGTATAATGGCTGATAGTGTACGAGTAACTCAGCCAATCAGATTGCAGCTTTTTCATTAGTACACTAATAGAATTCTACTAGAATTCTTCTAGAATTCTACTTCTTCTGGTTAATGGTATAAAATTTCTCAGCCAATGAGATTACAGTATTTTTATTAGTTTTAGAATTTTACTAATAGTGGATAAAACTAACAAAAATTTTCTCTGTTTCTTTAGTAAAGGTAAAACGCTCAGTCCGTGCATTCTTACATCTATTTCTCTGATTTGTTTACCTTGGCTAATACACTACAGCCGTCAGTCATGCCAATGTAAGGGTACAGCGGTTTATCATGATCATAGTCCATGAAAACATGATCTGTCTCGTTATGTTGTTTTGTTCTTTTAATACGAATCCTCCTGCCGTTTAAAGTGAAGCAAATTGGAACTCGTTTCTTTCCATCTTCTATTTCTTTTTCGTCCTCAAACAAGACTGTACATCGAATTCGATCGCCCCGAGAAGCCACCATAGGGCCTGTGTAGGAAAATAATAACAATACTTACGGCTCTTTAACGATTCACACACCTAGAAGCTGGTCTCGTTTATGAGTTAAGCTTGAAAAATTAAGCTTGAAAAGTTACCAAGGCTACAGAGAATTTTAGGCTAGAAAAAGAGAGAAAATAATAGCGGGCATCCCGTCCCGAACGGGCGCAATGTCCTCCCCCAAATTACCCTGATATACCTGATAAGGCAATAATCTTGAGGCTGCAAGAACAATTTATAACACAAATTTTCAATTATTCATAGAAGGGTGGCTCTGATTTACCAGCGGCGAAGACAGTTTGTCGAATATGTATACAGTCGACTGCCGAAAATGTTTAGCCTCGGTGGTGGCTTACGGGAGGGGGTCGCTTACGAGAGCTTAGACCATTTTGGGTCAGAATTTTGTCTCATTAGCATATGGTAACTGCAAAGACTTACCCCATGTTTTAAATGTTTTATTCACGCGAAAAGTCAATTTTGAGAAAGTATCCGGTACTTTGCATTGAGAAATTTCCGTCTCCTGTACTACACAGGAATGCGATAATGTTACAACACTTCATTATCCAAGTTCTGCTCCATTATCTGTCAAGTGGTCGCTTATGGGAGATTAAAAACAAAGGAAAATTTCAAACTTTTTAAAGTAATCGCGGTCGCTCACGAGAGGTGGTCGCTTACAAGAGGTTGCAAATATAATGATATGACTTGGTATTTTGGAAAACTGGTCGCTGAGGAGAGGTGATCGCTTACGAGAGGTGGTCGCAACCTTAGGCTCCATTGTATTCACTTAAATTGTCTGATCCCAGGATTAGTAATTCGTTTAGAGCGGTCTTCCCAGTGAGTCAAGGTAAATCAAAGGCCATTTGAATCTTAAAACTTTGAGGATGACTTCCGCTTAGTTTGGTGAGCCGTCAGTTATCATTAAGTATTTTCATAACTATAGCTAACCTCACCCGTTTAATGGTAGGTGAAGTCTGCCAAGCCAAGTGGTCTATCAGGCCGGAGCTTATCCCTAATTCTGTAGCATGAAGTGACTAGCGGTATTTCTACTCCCCCCTGAATGAGATTTTTGCTTTTTGGATTTTTGCTCTCGGCCGGTCCGAGATCAACTTTGTCGAACAGTTTCTTCGTCTGTTTTTTTTTTTGTTTTTTAGGTTTACGCCGGCAATTTCACCTGTTTTCCTGGGGTCTTTTACAAATGCTCTAAAGCCATGCTCTAATACTTTATTTGCTTCAGTAAAAACAGGGTCGGCGATAATAGACCATTTTACAGTTGCCTGCTCAGTGACCTGGCCTTTGTATGGCAGCGAGGCTAGAGTTGACCTTGTTTTGATACAGACCTCACTGCTTTTGT